AGAGAGAGAGAGAGAGAGAGAGAGAGAGAGAGAGAGAGAAGGATTAGTGCCAATGTCGTGATATGTAACGTATTCTCAAAAGGGTTGATACGTGAGATTTCAAACTGCTCTGATTTCTTCTCAGATCCTTCTATTTTAGAATTCTTTTTTTTTTACGCTCTACTGGGCATAAATAGAACGTCCCAGAAAAGAGAACTTGGTCCACTTTTAAGAGAACTAAAAAAAAAAGAAGAAAAATAAGGTTCGTTACCTTCATAAATAAAAGATCTTATGGGAACGTGACAATATTACCAAACAACTATATCTACACTCACTCACTCACACACACACACACACACACACACACACACACACGCACTCAAACCCCCCGTCCATCGACTCGGAAAACATTGTCCCCGTGGCAGGATACTGTCCCCTGCTGCTCTGTTTTTTCCCCTCGCACAAATGAATGGCTCTTGGTGTGTCTCGCGCGCTCATATGACCTTATGCAGTTGCGAGCACCGTAAAAACACTTACCAAAACAAACAGAAAACTTTTTTCAAAAGCTATTCTCTACTCAACGACAACTTGTATTCTCTCTTATTCAGTTCTAAAGCAGTTAGTTCTCTGTACAGTAGGTTACTGGTTTACATTATTATGAATACGAACTTTATAAACTGTTGTTTTTCATATCACCTTTGCCTTTACTGTGCCAGTAATTGAGGATGGTTGGTTGGAGGAAGCCACTGTTAAGTCTTACTTCTTCTCTCTGTCTGTCTAGTTTTTCCCCGCAAAAAATTAACATTTTAGTGTTCGTGTGCTTCCTTTTACTGAAAAATCATTAATTACTGTATACAGGGTTGGATTTTTTTCGTGCTCCTTGAATTCATGATTTTTGCAATTTTTGAAATTCAAGTCGTTCATGAAGTATTTAAGGGGACGCTTCTGCATTGGAACACATGGCTCTAGATGACTGAAATTGTGAATTCTAAACACTCGTAAAAAAAAGAAAATGTGCAGAACTTGAAAAAAGAATACGGGAAAAAACCCTCAGTATACAGTACTCCAATAGTTACCACCTGGAACAAAAACTGCCACATGATAGTGTTAGAATGGTTTGCTCTAGTTCTCCATACAGTTGGTGAGTTTGTGTATGTGTCTTGTCAGGTTGTCCTGCATTTCATTATGTCTCCATCCTGTACTTATTGCCTCTTGCTTGCTAACCCTCCCTTTCCCTCCACCCCTGCCACCCTCCACCCCCATCCTTCTCATTGCAGTATGCAAGCCTCTCTTGGCCCATGGATCCACCCTTGCTCACCAGGTATATCAGGACAGTTTCCACCACTTAATCAACTTTGGATCCCTTTTAGAAAAAAGACTTACTGTCAGAACTAGTTCGGTTTCTGTTCTGGAAAGAAAAACGTTTTTTCTTAAGTAGAGAAATTTTCTGTTTTCTCTTTGTGAAAAGAGTTGATCCTTTTTATCCTGTTTTTCATATGCTCAATACCTGAATAAATGAAGTTATTTACATCAATTGTAATTCGCTCTTTTTGTGAAAATGTGTAAATAGACATTGTATCATTTCCACATCTGAAAAAGATTATTTTTGCTTTGACTGGCGGGAAAGCATTAAGTAGCTTCAAGGTTCTTTACATATAAAAAAGAAGTGATGTTACTGCTGTTTTCTTTTAACATTGTCCTTGTAACACTGCCTATTTTTGGTAAAGATGCTAGTTTTGAAAGAGTTTTTTATTAAATATTGTTGGGGAGCAGGGTGTAGGGGATTTTGTATGGGATGAACATTGAAAATATGATTTTTTTTTTTTATCTGTTTATTTTTCAAGATGTCAATCATCTTCAACGAAGAGTCCCTGAAAGACATCAGTCCGCCATGTGTGGCCCAGTCCTTCATCAATCACAACGCCATTTTGTATAAGATCATGGTGGTGGGCTGCAAGCAGTTCATCATACAGAGACCGTCACTGAAGAACCTCTACCCTGGAGGTAACTATACCTGTTTACTTGTGACTGGGTTTCACTCTGGTGAAGGGAGAGACCAGGTTTGGCTGACTGGTGTGTTTCTCCTAGAAAAATTGTATGAGCCGGTGAATGTGCTATATTAGAGGCTTGCCAACCATTTGGCTTGGTCTTATTTGAAATGAAATTTAAATTTTGAGGTTCTGCCTCTTTCAGTGTTGTGAGTCTTGCACAAGTACCTGGTAATGTTGCTGATACCAAATGTAACCTGATTTTTTTGACATAGGATATAACTGAATATGTTCAGCTGACCTAATATGTATATATGTATAATATTTTAATATATGATCGGTGTCTGACTCTAGCCATATCTCCACCAAATTAGGTCAAACACTTTAAAAAAAAGTAATTTCTTTTTTATCTTCCAGAATTTCTTAAACTTTGTGTAGAGTGTTCTTTTAACTTACAATAGAATCATCTATTACATATCCTCTTCACAGCTCATGCAACTGTTTTCTTCGACACTCAAGAGGTGTCCAAGGCAGACTCTGACCACCCTCTGAATGCGGTAAGCTAGACTCTGACTTGTTCATGAAACTCGTTCTGGTGTTGGTAGTTTAAACTGTGGTCTGTGTAGGCCTATACCCACTGGTGTATTGGTTAGACTATTTACTGTTGCAGGCAGAAAATGCGAGTGGATGGTTGGCGGGTGGTCTGGTGTGGTTTGCTATTTCTTTCCTATCAAACATCTATCATCCTTCTTCCTTCTTTTTTGCGTTTGTTACTCTCTAGTAACTCCTTTAATCTTCAGCACTTAAGTGAACTATGTTGCATGTGCCAACTATAAAATGTTGTATAACAAATAAAATGTGAGTTAGTTTCCCCTGTGGGAAAATTATATTGTCAGTTACCTCTGTGTGCGCGTGTGCGTGCGTGCGTGCGTGTGTGTGATTGTGTGCGCGTGCGTGCGTGTGCTGGGATGCTGTATACCACACAGCTTGGGTTGACCTGTTTCTTAAATTACCTATGGCTTATGTTGGTTTATTTTGTTTGACGCAATGAGTTGAGACTCGCTGAGGCTCTGACCGGATGCCTGTTGCTTCTGTATCGTGGGGTCATCCCCCTTCTTTGTCTAATCTGATAAACACTAGTTAAAAGCAGGAAAGAAAGTTGAAGCTAAACTGTGCCTGTTTGTGAAAGATACAGAGCTGTGGAAATGATATGTATATGATTTTATTTATTTATTTGATATTGAGAGTACCCGAAATAAATGTTTATACTTTTATACCCAAGATCAACCAAGGGCAGTAACTCTGGCGTGCATGAAGTGGGCTGTTCCTACTCTAATAAATTGTTCTTTGAAGCTCATGAGACTAAATTATACATGTGTTTATGATGTAGGTATCCGTATCAAACTCTCAGATGCTTTTTAAGCTTTGTAAATATACTTGTTTCATATTTAGAATATACTTTTTTTCCCCTGCCCTCAGCTATGGTTGGGGAATGGGGGGATTTTTGCACACCTAAGTTTGACGAAGGCTATTTTTAGAGAATCAATTTACTTTGTCTGGGTACTCACATGCAAAGATATAAATTTGCTTTTGCACCATAATGTGTGACAGTATTATGAAGGCTTACAAGTTTGATATATTCTGCTGTGTGAATGAAAAACCTTGTATATGAATCTGGTTCAAGTCAACTTTGTAAAAAAAGAAAAAAGAAAACAGGTGAAAATGCCTAGTCTTTCTTTGCCTATTAGGAATTATAATTTAAATATTCAATGAAATGAACATGCAAAGATTATTGAGGTCTGACTTTTTAAGCAGAAGTTATAGCTTTAAAAACTTTTAAAAAGGTGGTTTCATTAGGTACTGGATTTTCTCATTCACCAGTAGTATTCTCATGAGTGATGAAACGGTGTTGTTGTCTGCCTGTGAGGCATGAGTGTCTGATGTTCTCTTTTCTGAAGACGTCCCCATCTGTTTCTGATTCCGACCAGGTTGACTATGCCACGTTGGAAGACCAGCCCACCAAACCCGACTGGGCATACCTGGACAAGTTGGGGCAGAAGTTGCGGTCAGCCATGCAGTTAGATCTCTTTGGCTTTGACGTCATTATTGACAGCGAAACCAACCAGTATGGCATCATAGACATCAATGTTTTCCCAGGTGAGGAAATCTTTTCTTAAGAGTATGTTGCTCCAATGTGATAGTCTAGGTTGTGGAGGTGGGTGCTCTGGTGTGGTTTGCTCCTTCTTTCCTATGAAACATCTATCGTCCTTATCTCTCCTCCTTTTTTTGTGTACATTACTCTCTTGTAAGACATCTATTCTTCGGCACTTGTATGACCTTATTGTGTTGCAAGTGCCGTAAAACTCGTTACTAAAAAGCTAAAACTAAGTTGTGGAGAAGTCTCTCCCCCCATCGCCCCATTTAATGTCCATTTCCTTTATGATGAAATGAAAGGTGAATTGTTGGAGAGTGCCACGAGTAGGTCCTGTGTTGATTCTTCTCTCTGTCAATCTTGTCTTTTTCTAAACATTACATGGCTGACCTTTTTTTTCTCCTGTATTTCTCTTTATTTGAAACATAGAATTAGAGGTTTGTAAACCTTTCTAGTATCGCAAGTTGATAAGAAGATGCATCCTTATTATGATTTGGATCCTGCTTACCCGCGTTATAGACAGGTGCATTATAATTGATGACTATGACGTGTTCTGAGTGGGTGGAAGTGTGGGGCTGATACACACAGGAGCTTGTTTATCAACATTTGTGTTGGGTTGTAGGAAAAAAAGCTGATGTAAGTTTTTCCGTCAAGACTTAGGTATTGCAGTGGTAAGAACAGCATGCTGCATCTATGGACAGACATTATATGTGTAGGCTACTGTTTCAACAAGTGGGAAATGAAGTCATACAAAATACTTTTAACTGTTTTTGCCTGGACTTATTTTCCTATGTGTACACAAAATTAAAATGGTGTTTGTAGTGTAGCGGTTATGTGCTTTGCTGTTGCATGTTGGAGACCCAAGTTTGATCCCAGAGTGGGAAAAACCCCATTTATATTGAGTATCTTGGTCTTTCTGCTGGGATGTTCTATCCCTTTCAGCCCAGTTTTGCCCTTGTGTATATATATTTGTAATTTTCGCATTGCCCTTGATGAAAGGTCTGGGGGCTCTCGTGGCCTAGAGGTTAAGGTGTTGGCCTCTCATTCAAAGGTCCTGGGTTCGAATCCGGGTAGCGACCGAAAAATTTACTTTTCTAAAATTGTCTCCTTTCACCTCCTTTCCTGCTGTCTAGCAATGTTCTGTTGTTTGCTTTCATTTCCACTTTCTGCCCCCACCCCCTCACCTCCTTTGCCCCCTCCTCTGAGCTCCTGACTCTTTCTGCAGCCTTTCTACTGCTACTCCTTGGCTCCTCCTTACTGCTGTCTTTCTGCCACACCCCTGATCTTCTGGTAGGAAAGATCTACACCTAGCCTTCTCGGACAAGGGCAAAAAAATCTCGGAGGGCCCGTGTGCAAGTTGCGCACGTTAAAGATCCCTTGGTGGTCTAAAATCGATAAGAGTAGGCTTCGGCCGCCACCCAGGCAAAATTTAAAATTTCCTACCAACTGAAAATATTAGGTGTGTCCCGCGCGCTCATATGACCTTATGCAGTTGCGAGCGCCGTAAAACACTTTACAAAAACAAAACAAAACAAAATGAAAGGTCTATTATTGTTAAACATGTATACCTTGGACAGACTGCCACAGAGTTTACATGCTTTTCTGCAGGAAGTGTTCTGAACTGTGGTTTTTTTATTGTTCTGAAATACGTACTGAAAAGAGCACATTTAATCTGTTTGCAATTATTTTTCTGTTGTTTATATGTTAGACTGGTTATGTAGGCTGGTGTATTTACAGTGTTAGTTTGTTGGTGTTGTTGTTGTTGTTGTGGGGGTTTTTTCAGGGGGGGGGGGGGGTCGTGCTTGTCAGGTTCAGTGTAACCTGGCATTTAGGTAATTAAAAAAAGAAGCGGTGGATCACATCAACCAATGTTCTTTTGATATCTTCAGGTTTTGAAGCCATTGACAGTTTCTTCAGCATTCTGTGTGAGCACATCGTGCGAGTCATTGATGCTCAGGAGAAAGGAGAGCTAGTCAATGGCCGACTCATGCCCTCCGCCCAGGACATTGGTGGCTCGATGAATATCCTCAACCAGCTCAACCAGAAGGCGAACGTCTCCCACGATGACTGCCTCCTCAACAACTTCGCCCTCAACGCACCAAAGAGTAAAACTATCAATAACAATCAGCAGCCTTCCAAGATGTCTTGAGTTCTCCTGTTCCTGGTTTTTTCTTTGTTTCTACTTTTTTTGTTATACTGTTTTGATACATTATGAAAAAGCAAATATCTTTACATACATGCTTTTCTTGTCTCTGTCTAGAGATATGAATCGTATTTCAATGATATTTTTTTACATATATATATATGTTTGTTTGTGTCTGTAAATTCTTAATGCAAATTGGAACAAAGCAAATGAAATGAACTTTCTGGAAACTAATTCTCATTCTGTCTGAAAACTGATTAAGCTGAACCTACGATGTAAAGGTGGTTCATTACTTGCATGAAATATCTTTGTCTTTGACGACATAAAGATACCTTATGACTTTTTCAGTGTCGCGAATCACAGCAGATGTTTTATTGTTTATTTGTCAGATAATGGGAGTTAAGCTATAGGATATGAAATTTTATTATTGTATTTTTTGCTACAAGTCTGATATTGATTAAAGACATTCTCTAGACATCTGACAGTAACAAAATGTCTTCCCAGTAGTGCTTGTTTTTTGTTGTGTTCGGCGACAGAGAAGTCTAAAATTTCCATGCCAGCTTCTTTATTTTTCAAGGTTAGAAATGGTAAAGTTGCTTTTTGAATTTGTTTTTTTTTAGTTCAAATTTGTTTTTGCTAATATTTATTTGCTACTAGGTTCACTTATTTATTTTTACCTAAAACTGTTGAAATTTATTTTTAAAAAGAAAATTTTGTGACTGCACTGCAATAAAATTGTACAGGTATATAAGCTGCTGATTATTACATGTGTTATCCTTGTGGCTTTGACACTCCTCTTAAACACAATTTGAGTACAGTGTGGCGTGTCTTTGGCTCTTTGTATGGCTTGTGTCTCTCAGGTGTCCAAAGTCAATGCAGTTGTAGTGAGGGGTTAGGGGGGGGTTCCTTCTTCTTTGCAATCCTTCTATCGGTTCTCTTTAATTTGCTTCTTCGCATCTTATAAAGACCACTATCATGACTGTCTGCTTCTTTATACAGCAAACAAACAAATGAACCGGTTGTAGTGGATGTTGTCAACCTTGTGTTATCACTTCATCTTACTTGCACTTCATCACAATGCTCTTTGTATCCAAACTGATTTTCAATGATAATTATAACAGTACTTGGTGTAAGTGGGGCAATTTTTTGGCCTCCAGTTCTGGAATATGAAGGGGATAAAGCAGTGTTACTTGTATCTCGTCACATTGTTTAGGTTATGTTGTCTGTCGTTTTCTTTAGATGAGAAATGTCAGATTTATTTCAAAGTTGTCACGGGTTCAGATTTGCTTCAATGACTTCCATTCTCACATTATGAGGCAAAAGTTTCATGTGCAAAACTAGATGGAGTTTGAGAGACTTTAGGGACCTTATATAACTTACAGCAGAGGCAAGTTTCAACTTGTCACGTTTTTGGATTTCAGAGGGAAGGTGGGCTCAACAAATAGAATTTTAACACTCCTTAAGAAAGGGAGAATATTTGAGCCCTTTGCTCAACTTGTTTTACTTCTCTTTCCTTGTGCGGAAAACTATTTTGGGTGTGTTTTTGTTTGTATTCTTTGTTGATTGCCTCTTCGTTCAGTGAATGTTTTCATCAGCTGTAGATTCATGGATATGCTGCAATGACAAATAAAAAATGAAAGTGATTTTGTTTATCAAGGGACAAAGAATAGTAAAGTTTAGCAGTGTCAATGTTTCACACTATACTTTGTCATTGTATTTCATTCGATCGTTCGGTCGTTCATTCACTCATACGCACGTACGTACGTTCATTCATTCATTCATTCATTCATTATTGTCAGTCATAACGGGACCAGATTCATTTTCTTCAATGTATATGAAGAGCTTGTGTGGTTTCTTGGTATACCGGATTCTAAGTGTTCTGTAGGGCAGCAGTTTCATTTTGTTATTTTTTGGGTTTCTTTCATTTACTTTTTGCTTGTGTGTATTTCAATTGCTTGTCTCAGATCTGAGAGTGCTTCTTAAAACGTAAAAAATATCAGTTTTTTAGAGACGCTTTTCTCAAAATTCTTGGAGCAGCGACGTACATGTGTAGTGTAGTCATGTTGCAATTTCTTGCGTTTGAACATTTCCACTGGCTAGAAGGTTTAGACATATTTCCCTTGACATATTATACACTTGTATTGCTAGTTTAGTTTCTAAATTATAGTTTTATTCGTGTATGGCATAAATGGTGAAGTGAAATGTACTTTTGTTTCCCATATGAATGGACTCATAGTCATTGGGCATAATTATTAATGGGGACCTGCATATTGTGGTGTAGACAGAGGAGATACAATTCATTCGAGCATCTGGCTTGTGCATGTCTGTCTGCCTATATTCTAGACATTTACAACGTCAGAGTTTGCCGAAGCACACAGAGCCACGAATGACTATATGATGAAAACTTTTTGAGAACTTTCTCTGCTAATCAGTGTTTATGTATATGAAATGATTTAACGGAAGACTGTACAAAAAAATGATGAACTTTTGCCTTTGCCCCTTGATGAATAGAATTTCATTCCATTTTTGTGTGTGTCTAGATCTTTCTCCTCTTCTTCTTTCGTCCTTGTTAAAGTGTCAGTTTTTATTACAGTATGAATAGTTAGAAGTTTTGAGCCGCAGGTGGTTTGTAGCTACAACTCAACTTACAAGTCTAAAGTTTTACTTCCATTCCCTCCATACCTTACTCTGGTCTTGTCTTTTTATCTTTTCTTTGGTGGACGAGAATAGTGAGATGAAAGGAAAAATGGAGGGTGTTTGATAACAAGCCTTTGAATAATATAAAATCCTTTCGCATCACTGGGATATATATAGGTTGGAGTTTCTCATCTAAATGGCCATGAATAGAAATATTTTGCACAAGCTTTTCTAAGGTAAGCTACTCTCCTTTGTGTTTATGTTTGTTCTTTGTCTTGAGTTGAAGCACAAAGTAAATGTTGTGAAAATAGTAGGGAGTCAGTCGAGTCGTGTTATAAAAATACCAACCTTTTCCACCAAACCGCAGAAATCGGTTGTGGGGTCAATGAGTTACAATATGTGTCTGAAAAAATGGGACTTTGAGCTTGGGGTTGATTGTAATAGCTAACATTTTTATAGAAAAAAGCCGCCAAAGAGTTATGAATCCATGCATGTAGGGGTAGCTTCAAATGGACAGTACAGAAATGCTAATGCCTTTCGTGTGAGGGTCAAATAAATATTGAGAGTTGCTGAGAGGCTCTTACTCTTAGTCTGGGAGAATGTAAATACAGTATAATCCACTTATATCGACATTTTGACATATCAACATATTTTCCAGTTACGAAATTTTCCCTTCCATATCTTCACTAAACAATTTCTCTTATATCGACTTTTTTTCGGCCCTCTCTGCTTTATCGACATGCTTCCTGGGTACCTGGCGAAGCCCACGAACATAAATGGGGGGAAAAGCCACGCTAAGGGTCAACGCATTAGTTCTTCATTAAGCCGGCATGCCCGCCAAGTAGCCTATATCGACACACGAATATTCAGTAGGTCATGTAGGGCCTACACAGTGTAGTCTCCAAAAAAGTACAGTGCCTCACGGACGTAAGCGTCTCACGCACTGGGCATCACCTCCCTACCCCCACTCCCGATCGCTCACACCCCTTCCCCATCCCATTCTCAGTCTGTCGCTGGCAAGTGCCACTGTCAGCGAGTCAGTGCCTCACCTTTCCATTTTCCCCAGCAAACGGCCATAAACAGGCCTTACAAGAATGCAAAAACAAAGTTTTAGCTGGTGTGTTGTGTGCATCTCGCGTTGCTCGGTCTTTGGTACCGCAACTCCAACCCTCCCTTCCCCTCTTGCTGTTGTTAGTTTCACAGTTTGGTTGTGTAAGAATCAAGAGAAGCAACCAGCTTAAAAAAGTGTTTTCGTTTTACCACTGACCTCCCGTTGTTTTTTCCTATTTGGCTTTATATTTTCATTTATCGACTTTTTAATATATCGACATCAAATCCACTTCCCAAGGCATGTCGATACAAGCGGATTTTACTGTAAATGTTGGTGTGCCACCTGACTCTTTAAAAAAAATACAGTCAAACCTTGTTATACAACCCCCCGTTCGCCAGGCCAGGTCAATGACTTAATTGAATCCAAGTTTGCCGATTTATGTGTTTAATCTGAGCTATTAAAAAAATTTTAATGAACAAAAAAATTGAGGAATCCATCTCCCTTCATTGAATCCAAATTCGTTGTGTCCGAGTTTCAGAAAATTTTACTTTAAATTTACGTTAAGTTGGAGCTGGGCATGTAGTCTGTTGCTGCTCGTTTTCCCCTGCGCATTATGATCGCCCAAGACAGATCTAGATCTCTTGTCTCAACCAGTCCAGTCTACCACTAGTCAAAATGGCAATCAGTGCTACCCCATTATACCGCCTGCCCCACTGTACCACCAACTTCATGCTCGTCCCAAAGTAGGCAATATAAGGAGGTTTTACTATGGTTTTTTTCCTACTTTTGTGTACGGTATCTGATAATACTCGTAATTCTATCTTTTGCTGTATCATGTTAAACCCAACCGTACCAGCTGTGAATTGCTTACAAAATTGTTTAGAGGTTAGTTTTGTTTTAAGTGAATACAGATATGCTGCCATTGTCTTTGAGGAAATTGTCAAGCTTTTAAATTTTTAATTGTATTGTCTTGGTTAAAGAATTGTCAGTGTCACACAGATCTAGCAGCAGAGTGACAGTTGTGCATGATGTCCATATGTCTTCATGTGTCGTAGAAACTACAGATCTACCTCTGTTCATGCCATCAGATTTGATGACAGTTGTGGGACCCAACAAGAAATATATGAAGCACTGTACCATGTGTTTCAAAAATATTTTTCTCCCATTTTTTTTCCTTTTTACTGTGGCCTGACTTGAAGACTTGTCTTTAGACATTGGCTTACAATTTGAGACGTAGGGACATACAAATGTAAACGAATTTTAGTGGGATTATTGGCTGGGTTGAAACATTTACAACATCTTATGGTTGTTTTGTGTTGTTGCATACATTATCCACTTCTCTCTTTCTGTACAGCAAGAGTTAATGAACAGTATCATGCATTCTTCTTGTTCATTGATAAATCCTGTTTCTTTGTATTTTTTCATCTAATGTGTGAATTACATTCTTTGATCAAATTTTCTTTCATTTGTAATTACTGACTTCAAACCTGTATGATGAAAGTGATGTGTAAAAAAACAATTGTTAAAACTATATATATTCATGACTTTATTCTTGCTGTCTTTACATTTATTTCATAGCTTATGTGATATACCAATTTATACACTTTTATTGTTGTTTGAATTTTTATTTTCTCTTTCCTGGATCTAAGACAAAGGACTAACATGGGAATGCTTTGCGGCATTTGCCCCAGGTTATCTCCAGTCTTGCTAGAAACTGTCACTGAAGCATTGAGTTTAGCAGCTGTCAGTTTTTTTCCCTTTTAAAATACCATATCTCTCATTTGGGTCTTCTTATAGGAAAAATTGTGGAGCAAAATAGACAAAATCCATTTATTTAGGAATGTAAAAAAAAGCTTGTTGAGATCATTTTTCCATCAGCATGTTTGCCCTTAGAATAGTTCGAAGGTTAAATATATTTACCAGAGCTACAACGATTAAGAACTAATACTAATAAAACTGTACTGTGGTGGTTGCTGTCCATCAGTAGTGTTATGATCTATGGTAACACAAACGCGTCAAGTTCATAACGAACAGGCTGTGGGTCTTCTGTTATGTCAAGGCAGAAGCTTGTATAATTTTTGTCAGAACAGAAACTTGCACTATTGGCATATCATAATAACTGACAAGTACCAGGTACTATCCCTTTACGAACATCGGACTTGTATGGTTATAAAGAAGATTTTTATTTTACAATAGCGTCCCTTCTTATGATATACGGCATAATCATTTTTTTTTACCCTGGGGCTGTATTGATACTGTCAGGGCTTTAGTATTTGGTAATTTTTGGTCCCTTTTTATGTGCCAACTGTTGTTGGTTCTTGTGCCGACTTATGTGAACATAAATATAGAAGTTTAATGATTTGTTCTTTTTCATTGATGAACTACTAAGCATAACCCTGATGACTAGGGAAATGGTGACAGCTCAGTTGGTGTTTATTTTTACTGGACTGTATTTTACGTGACCCTGGTTTGAAACCACAACAGGGTGCTTTTGTACTTGGGTTGTTTTGGGAGTCTTTAGAGTTCCCAGTTCTCTGTCTGCTTTGTTTGCTCCTTCTATTGCAGATGGAAGTTGTTTTCAAAGGTTGAGCCATACAATACAAATGTATCATAAGTGGTGTGTTTAATTGATACCAGTGGAGCAAGTGATGTTCCTACAACTAGAAAATTATTTCTGTGACAAAACAATTTTGCGATGGAAACAGAATGCTTCGAAGATGTTCATGTTTTATTTTAAATCTAACTCTCATGAACAAAGTAGGTCCACTTTAAGGAAACAAGCTGTGACTACTCCAAAGGAAAAAGAAAGCTGCTACTGCTAGCAGAAACGGAATAAGAATTGCTCAGTTGTACTGTATTATATTTTTGTCTATAATGATATGTCAAGTGCACTTTTTGTGTTTGGTCAGAGGTCACTCACTACTTGTTCTCCAGTGATGCTGGCTGCAGTGCCAGTCGCTTCTCAGACTGTGTGTCTTTCTCCGTGTCTTTGCGCAACGTGCCAAGGTCGACACACAGCTTACAGTTACTGCTCCCCCTCCCCTGAGGTCCTGTGAGGACAACCTGTGAAGTTTGATCGTCAGTGTCTCTGGCAGACCGTGCAAACCTGCCTTCTTTGCTCTGACATTCATGTGGCTTGCGACTTCCTCTGATGATAAAGAGGTCGTTTCTCCCTGTGTTTGCTCTCGGCTGGTTATGGTCAGGATTATTTCAGAATGTTTGTTTCTTGATGTCTCAAGCTCAAACTGACCACTAAGCTTTGAGGGAGAATATAATAAACACACGTTTCACTTTCTCGTCTTGGTCGGAGGGGAGGGAGCTGTTGTTGAGTCTTTTGTTGTCATTTTGCAACTTCCTAACACAATGATATTTTATTAATTGAATTTCTAGTGGATAAATGAAATATCCATAAGCAATTTTTTATACTTTTGAATAGTACGTCGAGTATCTCTGCAAAATAGTCATGTTTTCAACAGTCACAATTGCACCTACATGTACAACTTCTTCAAAGTTCTTTATTTTTCTTTGGTTTACTCCATTTACTGTATCAATCTATAGTTAGCAAATAGACACTGCTGATCTCTGTGAAACAAATCTTCCAAAATTCATTACAGTTATACATCATTTCCCACATTAAGTATGTTTTAATTTTAAAAACGCGTTGCTTCAAGGGTTTACTTCATTAAAACAACAATGCTAAAGGTCATTATAAATTATAGGCATGAGTCAGCTCTTGAATTAAATTGCACCCTTATTGAAAAGGTAAACTGAAACAGCTTCAATCGCATATTTGTTCTTTATTTTACTTTTTGTCATGGCCCAAAAAAATATTTTAAAATTTCTTCGAGTCTTGTGAGTAGCGTACTCATTTAGTTGTAGCAAGTGTTATTGAATGGTCATTACTACTGATGACACAGACTTGTTATTGAATGGTCATTGCTACTGATGACACAATAAACAAGAATAGTTTGAAATGTTGACAAGTTTTCTGATCAGATGAATGAAGCAGGAGTTGAACTGTGTAATGCAAACCAGTATTTTAGTGATATGAGCAGACTGTTTTATCATGTCATATGTTGCTAAATGTTATGTTTTCTTTTCTCTTACATTGCTTGTACTTTATACTGAAAGGGTTTTTGTTAAAAATGCGATTTCATAACATGTTTAATAAATTACATTTCCATTCATGAGACCTATACATGTGTTGGAAGGATCCTCTTGTTTTTGCATTTTATAAGAATTATCTTAGTGTAGTTTAGTAAGAGCTTCACAGCACTTGCAACACAACAGAGTCGTATAAAGTGCCAAAGTTTAGAGGTGTTACAAGAGTAACAAAATACAAATAAGGAGGAGAGGTCAGGACGATGGATGCTTGAAAGGAAAAGAGCAAACCATATCAGAGCACCCGCCAACCATGCACCAGACAGAAAGAAAAAAATGCCTTTGTCACAGTGAGAAAAATGGTCTGGTACAGAAAGAATTGGGGAAAGACATGATCAGATGACAAGTAGTAAAGTACAGGAAAAAAAGAAGGTGGAGCTGAGAGAAATCTGATTAAAAAAAAAAAAGAAGACTTGTGCAAGGGATAAGCCAACACAATTTTTTAAAAAAAAGTGTACATTTTAATGTAAACACATTTTATTGAGGAAACAACATTCAACAGCACATGTCTTCACACTACATCAGGATTCATGAAATGACTTCATTCCTCTTCAACACGCAGAAATTGTCATGAAAAAGCACCATAACAAACAGCAAAAGTAAAGAAAAAAGATTATAGGCCTACTTCAAATAATTTCGCCCACTTCAACATCTATCTGCCCATCATTCTTCCCACCTACCCGCCCATCACACCATCATTCTTCCTATCTATCTGCCCATCACACCATCATTCTTCCTATCTATCATTCTTTTCTTCCCATCTATCTGCCCATCACACCATCATTCAACCCACCTACCTGCCCATCACACTATCATTCTGTGTATCTCGCCGTCTTCCTGCCTACCTGTGAGGTGACCTATCCCTTTGATAGTTCCGTTGCCTGTAGCCATCATTTCTCTGATGATAATCACCATAGTCCCTCGGGTAGTTCCCACCACCTCCACCCCTACCCCCATAATGGCTTTGGTTGTTTTGATAGTACTCCCCTCTACCTCTCCTGTCCCCGCCTCCCTGGTGATGGTTATAATGACCACGCCCACCTCGATTTCTGTTCCAATTACGAGAATCATCGCGAGGCCTGCGACAGAAAAAATCTTTAATCGCAGGTGGTTTAGACGCGGTCTCAGAGCTTGATACATTCTGCACATAACCGGGATCGGAATCGGGATTGTACCTGTTGCTGAACAAATTTTCAAGTTCCTGGACCTCAGGCATGAGGTTCGAATTCCAAGCCACTGTGGCAGAAACATCATCTGTACTGGAGGAAACCCCGCCCCCACAACCACCAGGATCTTGAGCTGAGATTGTATCGGCGTCGCCACCGTCGCCGGGCACATCATCAACTACAGCAATGCCGACCTCTGCTGCTATCTCTGCTAGATCAGCCATTGTCTTTTCCTCTCTGTTGTTCAGCAGCGGTAATTTGAACTCGCAAGTATAAAATTAATCTCTTTCTGCAACGATAATCTGAACTCAAGAGTATAAACCACAGTCTGTGATGATAACTTAACTTGAAACCAGGAGTTTATAAATAAATCTCTGTCAGCAACAATAACTTGGAACTCTGCTAGTGATGTGAAATTGGGACAGAATAGGTCTACACACTCATTTAAACATGATCAAAATCGGAGCATTCCAGTGAATCTCTCTACAACGCTGATAGCCCGCTGAGGTAGGACGGGTTTGTGGAACAGAGTGAGGAATATACCCTGCTCAAGTTTGCTGACTGTCAGACCGCTACGGTTCCCAGCACTTGTGGCGTATAGGCTGAAAGCAAAAACAGTTCAGTTCAATTTTAGTAAGAGTTTTATGGCATTTGTAACACAAATAGGTCAAACATGTGTAGAAGATTAGAGATGCTACAAAGGAGTAACATAAAAAGAAAAGGAGGAGAGATATGGATGATGACAGATGTTTGATTGGAAAGAAGAAGCAGCAAACCACATCAAAACACCCACCAGCCACTCACAAAGCAAAAACTGTACATTGGGCATAAGTGATAATTGGTCTGTCATACACACACACATTCAAACAGTGAATTAAAATGAAAATTAAAAAAATTAAACATGGACACAACTGAGCCACATTGCATTTTAATCTTAATCAACCAATTTCTGATTGTACAATCTTGATAGAAATATAAGTACAAGGTTTCCTTAGCGTGGAGATAGAGTGCTTGCTTCTTGTGCTAGAGAATCTTGTTTCATTCCTAAAATGAGCTTGTCTGAGGATAAAACGAACAATTTTTTTCCTTATATTTTATTTATCACACCCATGACCACAGCAGGGGGCAAATACCCTTTTCTACTCTAATAAGACACCAAATTAAAAAAATCTCAGAAATCAAGTGTTTGTTTAGTCAGGTTTTTACATAAATGCCGAAGATTAGTAAAGGTGCTACAAACACAAAAAAAGAAGAAGAGATCTAAAGGAAGATAAATGTTTTATAGGAAAGAAGGAGCAAACCACACCAGAGCACCCACTTCAAGTGTTCACATTGTCAATATTCAAAACAGCTTGAAACTTTAAACTAGTCAAAGCCCAGCACTGAAATGTTGACACAGTTTGGTAATCGCAAAGCAGTTATACAGTATTTATGCACGTATATAATAAGTTCAATGTAAATAGTGGCACACTTGTAGCCTACTCACGACTCACATGACCAATATATCACTGCATTATAATCATGATGTACCGGTATTTAAACTATACGTTATCATCTCAAAACTTATGATATCATTTCTCACAATGCAAGCTCTTTCAAAATTGTAGCTTTGGAAATTACTATTAAAAGTCAAAATCATTTATGAAATTACCTATATACCGGTATCTAAACAATAAAGATATGAACATAGGCAAAATTAACCCCAACAACACTTTTTAATAAAAGTGTTTTACAGCGCTCGCAACTGCATAAGGTCATATGGGCGTGCGGGACACTCAAAACTAAAATTTTGAATTTCATCTTTTTCACTCATAACCACCCTACAAAACAACAATCAGCGAAGGTGAAGAGAGTTGAGTGACACCTTCCTCCTGAAGAGACATGGAATCATCCAATTGTTTTTATGAATGGGAAAAAAAACAAAAATCACTTGAGTCTATCTTTTTAAACAGTTGCTTTAATTGTGCTGTACACGGGCAAACTGGTAAATTCTTGTCTACTATAAACATGAGCTGCTGGGGGGGGGGGATTTCAATAGTAATAGCTATGTTGCTTGCAACCTGAAAGCTTTCCGGGATCAGGAGGAAGGGATATTAGATTATGTGGGCTATTGTAGCCCAAATAAACTTTAACAGCTTGCAGTCACACAGCCAGCAGAACAAAATATCCCATCTGGTCACCCCAGCCAGGAGAGTGATGCAATGGACTTCTCGTGCCTCGCAGGTGACCAGAGCGGATAATTTTCAACGGTGCATTATTGCGCCAAGTGACCTCAAAGTGTGAAAGGGGGTGTCTCATTGGCTACACTGTAGGCCTACATTGGTAAAATGAGCTTGGAGATTATTAAGGTTAAATGTAGCTTACTTATTATAAGGCCACCCAAACTATAAACCACAACAGTTTTAAACGAAATCTATTTTACTCATTGCAAAGGAATCTACTTCAGCAGAGATGCCAACCACAGAAAACCGAAATGAGTATTGGGAAATATGAAAATGTGTATTTTCAGGGGAAAATGTGTATTCCCCTCGACCAACTAGTAATAGTAAAAATTACTAGCTCACCAGCTCGAAAAAGGGAGCACACACGCGTACAATATTTATGTATGCAGTCAACAACATGTCAGTGTTCAATGTCGTACAGGGGTCTTGTTTGACTTAAGTATTTCAATCTATTATATATTTTCCTCTCATTATTATATAAAAAATAAATCCCGCTTTGAGAGTTCGGAAGGGCCTAGAACAAGAATTTCGACTATCAAGAACCAGTCTTGGTGTCATGATTCATTTATGAACTGACAGACTCAAATTATTGCTCAAACTCAGAGAACAGCAATAACTTGAAAGGCTCAAGTAGACACGTGCACTGTGAGAGTTGTAACAACTGTGGGAGGGCAAGATGCAGTGACATTGAAAATCTGCCAGTCTTGAACAGAAAGCTACAACATACACCGTAGGTATAATTTATTATCACCCATCCAAGAAGATGTAGGTATAATTTACTATCCCCCAACCCATCCAAGTAGGTATAATTACTTCCACCTATCAAATGAAACGCAAACACTTTATTTCAATAACACAGACTTGCAAAGTATGAGGGGTCCCGATTCCGCACATGGCCTGCACCAACGTGCGCTTAGCAGAAAGCTCTAATCAAAATTCTGAAATGCGCTTCCAAGTTTTTGTCATCTGGTGTTGCCTTAAACCCCACCCCGATAGTATCTTAAACCCAAAAAAATCAATAATCTCCTCCCCTATTATAATAATAGATAGCACTTGTATAGCGCATATCCCCGCTCAGCAGCAGTCTTTATGCGCTTTACACTATATTATTACCCCAGCAGACCATAGAACACTCCGAAACATTCTCAGCTTCCCGGGAAGCATACTATTTTACTCATTGTAAAGGAATCTACTTCAGCAGAGATGCCAACCACAGAAAACCGAAATGAGTATTGGGAAATATGAAAATAAGTATTTTCAGGGGAAAATGTGTATTCCCCTCAACCAACTAGTAATAGTAAAAATTATGTAGTCATATACTTCGCAGCGTCCGTTACTCCCACCAAAGACGGTCTTTACTCACACCATGCCGCATTTTTTTATGACGCGAATGCGCACTGGTTCAGTGACCGGTCACGATGGCGAGCCAGACAATCTAAAAATCGGACGACGCTTGTATTTTCTTTTTCTTTTTTTCTTTCCACAAGCGACAGCCAAAGCGACGAGTCCGAGTGTTTATTACATTTTATTTGCACGGCGACATTGCATTTATACTGCACAACCTGCATGCCACAAATGTTGCGTTATCAGACAACTGCTGGCGAACTTCTTGGTGGTAGCGAAAGCGAAAGTAGATATTGATTTTCCCGATCGAGCCTCATTGTCACATACGCTTCCGCCTGCCGCCATAGCTGCCTATACGCGTGAAAGTGAAACGTACTCCCCGGACGGGGAAAAGCTGAACGAATATAATATCACGATGGCGAGCGGCAAAAATGAACTTACTGACCTTATCGGACTTGGTTTTCAAATATTCCAATTCTGCGATACTGATACTATTTTAAAAGATGGGACTTGAGATAATTAGGTTTTTTCGCCAAGCTGAATCTCGTATTTTTCGCATTCCAGGATGCGTATTTTTTCATGAAAAGTCGTATTCGCATATTTTCGGCAAAAAATCGTACTAAAATACGTAAAATCGTACTGGTTGGCATCTCTGCTTCAGCCCCAAATAAGCATGGATAAGCTCTAAACGATAACATATCAATACCTTATATGAGTTCTGTAGTAAATTTTATAACTTTCTGATCCTTGAGCTTTTCCAGCTGAGAGGTGAAAAGACCTGTAGCAGGGATCTGTCTCTCCACAAGAAAAACTCTGAAAGAACTGGTCAATCTCCGCCTGTAACAGAAAATGTCAAAATGTCAGCGACAAGGAGACCCAACAATAAAGTACTGCCACTCTACCAGCCATGAAGAAGCTTTTCAACCAACACTAACAAGGTATATTTTGAGCAAAATAATTTGAAAACAGTAAATTTCTCACTCTAACTGTTTGTTCGTTTGAGTAAAGAGAAGCACATCAACACAGTAATGGTCATTTAGTACTAAGAAAAAGTAAGACAGACAGATAAACAGAAACAACAGAGGGAAAGTCAAGAAATAGGACCTACCAGTAGCATCCTCCAACCACCCACTCACTCTAAAGTGGCATTCAAAAGGCTAGATTAACTTAAACCAACTCCAACAAAAAAAAACAAAAACAACAACAAAAACAAAGTCATAAAAAAAAAAAGAATTATCCACGGGTAAAAGTTGATCACAACCACTTTTCCTGAAAACTTCCAAACTCATAGCATCTCAAGGGGCTTTGCCTGAAAAGATAATTGAATCACCCCCTATACTGATGATTTATGCTCAAACTCCAGCAGCAGAGTTAAAAAGTCAGACTTTTTTTGGGACAGTTGTCAGGTAAACAAAAGAAACCTGTGCTTCACGAGATCAACCCTAGTCCAGACAAGGACGGCCATCGTTGGCTGCCAGCTGGCTTTCTCTTGCTGCAATTTCTGATCACAGCCAACCAGCAAACTTTTACCCAAGGAATTATCCAAAGAGGAGAGTTTCATAGATTAGCACTCTACTTTTCCATCCAAATACAGTCTTGCATGTACAGAACGAAAATGCACATTTCGTACATATTTTCAGGTTCCGAATTTTTTTGCATACACTATATGTGTGTGCGCCTAGAGAAAGGTACCAAAAGTCGCCCCAGATCATTTCGAGCTACAGGCTGATAATGACCAAAAAAATCACTTTTTAAAAATCAAAATGCGTTTCCATAAAAACATGATAGTTCCATCATATTTTAACAATATATGTATTAAAAGGGTTTTCATTGATTTGACTTCTAAATATTTATTTTGAATTATTTTGAGGGTAGAGTATAACAAAATATATAATGAAAACTGCTTTAAAAAGGTGCTAAAATCTATATTCTTGAAGCATGTTTTCTCTTCTCTGCTATGTTTTACCACTGAATTTTAATCACGATATTGATGTCAACTGAATGGCAAATCATAAATGAATTTTTCATGAATAAATACATTTAAAAGATGGGTTTAAAACAAAATTTGTATGTGTTCTCAAGTTTGTTAAATTTAAAAGCTCATTTTCTCAAAATTACATCTTTACACCCTACCTCGCAATATGTGCAATATCTCAAAAACTACTTGAGATATCTAATTAAAAAAAACCCAAAACACTGTGTTCAGCATCGAATTTCCTATAAGGCACAACCCTTCACTCAAAATGTTCAAAATCCGACTTTTGGTACCTTTCTTAGGGCACACATACATATATTTGTATTTTTTAAAAAGTATATTGGGAAACAACAAAAAGATTCCCGCATTCCACCAATTTTTCTATGTGTGTGCTAGATAATAGTTCACATCTCTGAACATGAATCCTTTTGCCTTTGATCTTTAACGAGCATCATTCTTTAACAAGAACAATACTGATTTTAAAAAACCTTCTTCTAAGTAGTGTTGTCAAAATTTGAAAATGTGAACTTCATGAACCCGGACAGACTTAGCCCATTCAACAGACCAATCAAGAAACAGACTTGAAGAGCACACACATAGAAAAAATGTCACGTTAATTAAGCAACACACAACACCTATAAAAAACAACAATACCTGAGAAAGCTTTGTCAAACTTCCATGAGAAAATATCACGTCCCTTTGATTGGACAGCAAGCAAACTCCACTGAACAAGTTGCTGTCTAGAAGGTTATCTAGAATAAAAAACAGGACAGACAAGATTAAAACAAAAGCAGCCACAAAATAAATGTCATGAACTGTTTTCCACATTTTCCTGCATGTTTTAAAGAAGTACACATTAGGTCTGAGTACATAAACACTGTGGCAAAATCAGCATAATTGTTATGTAAGGAACATAATACTTACAAGACAACAAAAATCGGCTAAAACAGCCACACCAGACCACACCAGCACTCTCCCCAACAGTCACTCAGGCATTCATTAAATTCTGACAGACAAACAGGAAAGAACTAATAATAGCTCAACCTGTAAACCTTGTAATAAACTAATACAGACATTTAAAAAGAGGAAAGATCAAACATTTTACAAAATAAATATTTCTACTCAAATGACCCAACCATTCTTTACACGAAGCCCAAGAGAACAAAATTATTCACTATATGCACATACACAAAAAGACCAATGTCCACACACACACAAACATACAAAGATACATTTTATATTATGCACTTTTTTAACCTTCCCTTACAAGCAACAAGACCAGGGTCAACAAACATGCTGAAGAAAACTAGTGCCAGCTCAGCAATAATTGAGATATAATAAAACAACAGATAAGCTGACCTTCTCTTGTACCATATCTTCTTCTGACAACATCAGGTAAAACATGAACAAAAATAAGTTGGGTTTACATAAACTTCCTAAACACAAAGACAGCAAAATGAGAACTCATACCTAACAAAGCAGAAATGGGTGACATAATATATTATATCCTTTTTATACCATACTTGGAGTTGGAGTTGTTTAGCATTGCACTTCCGGTAAAATAAATCTTTATATTTCACATAATATGCTAAGCTGATATCTCACACATGAAAAATAAAAATTTGCATAAATTACTGTGTGCACTATATTCGCTTTCTAACCTTTTGATTTTGTAAGCAAAGTACAGACTTGAATCAATATTCCTAGACCATGTAATGTTATGGCAGCCGCTTTTTACCCTCTGTAAAAATCTTTGCTGCAAGGCCTGCTCATCAAAGGCGCCCAAATGAAGTGCCAAACGCCAGTCTGCCATTGTCCCAGTGGAGAGTAGGCACAACTCTACATTGTCCTTAATTTTGTTTCAAACTGAGTCAAATGTTGCGCACCATGGTGAACCGGGATTACGTCAGAGCGCGGCGATGTATTTTAGGGCAATGCTAGCTCTAGTCTAGACGCATACTTGCAAACGACTCCCAGTCTTTGGTTTGTTTTAGTAGCAAAGTATGAAATCGAAGATCTCTATTCTCATGACAATTCATATAAATGCATGACAATTCATATTAATTTTTCAACATTTGAATTGCACGTTTTCTGATTGCTTTGCCTATGTTTACATTATCATGGTTCTGTTTGGGGTTTACTTCGCGGAGGGGGGGCATATGGGTCGCACAACATGTAAATTAACGCGGCTAAAAATATAAAAAATCAACCAGATTTTTTCCAATCCTCATTCTGACTCAGACGGGCATGAAAATTTTGTTTTCATGTGGGAATCTTGAATGGATCCTCTTGTCGGATTGGCTGTTGATTTGAACTGATATCAGTATGGTATAAAAAACAACTCTCACCTGACACAAATGTTTCCCAGGTTGAGGTCATACTTTGAAAGAGGACATGAGATGAGATTCAGACAAAGGCTTAAAAAAAAGCCTTCTCGCACCTGAGTGGAAACAAAATAAAAACCAAGTAGAAAAGTCAAAACAACTAAAACAAATAGGTAGAATAGAATGGAAATGACAAACAATCAAAGCTGTGCTTTTCCTAAGACAAAAACAAAGGTCATTATTCTATAAAAACATAAATTTACTTTTTAAAAATAAAAAATTAATCAAAATAATCGTCCTCAGTATGGTACAGTGGAGTCCACTTATAACGAGTCCTGAAATAACGAGAAGTCTGTTATAAAGAAACTACAGTGGAATCCTGTTATAACGAGAGGGAGGGGACTGGTGTCAAATGTCCGTTATAGCAAGATTTTCGTTATAAGGGACCCAGTAATAAATTCAAGGAAAATAGTAAAGTAGGCCTAATCTATGAGTCTGGTTCTAGAATAGTGTCTTAATAACAGACTTATTGTTGTTTTAGGACTCGTTATAAGTGGATTCCACAGTCTTCTAAAACCCCGCGGTTTTTTTCTTTCTTTATATTTGTAAATAAAATACTGCTATAGCGCAATCAGACAGTCATGCGAGTCAGTTATAACGGAATACTGCTGAAGCTGTGCACAGTGCACAGACCAACTACATATATTCATTATATATAAAAACCTAGCCAGTTGAGAAAGTTGTTGGTGATCCAGTGAAACAAAGAATGGGAGAGCCCACGAGAACCAACAATGAAGGCCGGAACGAATGAGTGGGAAGGGTGTGGCATGCGCAGACAAGCAGAACGCATCGCCCGATAGGCCAGCCCAGTCTAGATTATCTAGGATTCTAGGCCTACCATGCCTCTCACTTCTCTGGTGTGGGATGGAGAGGTCACAATGCTGTGATAGATGGAGTGAATGTGTGACGTGCGCAAGCAGACGCAACGCACCACAGGGTGGGGTGGGGGACAACACAGCGGGCGAGTTAGCCTAGAGCCACAGCCCCTTCTTTCTAATCGCCAACGCTGAGCTGTCAACATTGCTAGTGCTAGAGAAAGAAACCTGATTCGATTTTTGATCAAGTAAAACCTGGAGATCATGTTGAACAAAATCGTCATCAGGGGAAATATAAAAAGGAATAAACAGAACACTAAACTCACATATTAGGCCTACTTTACTATTTCCCTTGAATTTATTACTGGATCCCTTAATAACGAGAATCCTCCTGTTACGGATATTTTGCACCGGCCCCCTCCCTCTCGTTATAACAGGATTCCACTGTATACATGTTATTCAGGGGTTATTTTTCTTAACCATTTATAACAATTAGAGCGACGTTGCGCGGAGTCTACTGATTCGCACCTTGAGCGGCGTAGCGCAGGGTTTCAACCGCCAAATGCGCGACACTGCTGGGATGTGTATTCCTATGAAGTCAAGTCTAGGAAGAATGTCCGATTAGAATTATTTAACAGAAAACGAGGCTGGAGGGCAGGTCGAATTTTTCCTCTTTCTTCCGAGTTTTTGAATGGTCGAAATTGATCCAGAAATTGTCCATGAGTGAATTTTTAAAGTTAATAATGACGAAACGGAGGGTGTTTAGTTTAGTTTTAGTAAGAGTAAGAGTTTTACGGCACTTGCAACACAATAAGGTTATACAGTAGAACATGACTATAGCGGCACCCGCTAAACAACGGGACTTTACCGGTATCCCCCTTTTTTCCCTATGTCAAACTCAATTACTTGCTTGGATATATCACTAACAGGTCAAGGAAAGTCCCAAACTCGGATACAGTGGGAGAGATCGAGCGAGCTCTAGCTTGGGGGGGGGGGGGGGGGGGCTGTGGGCGGGACCCAAACAGGCAGTCAGCGGTGTGGCGTTGTAATTGGCTAGTCCAGTGATGAGTGAGGTGGGGCAAGTGGCAGAGAGAGATGGAGCGGAGACACGTTACGTGAGCCACTCAAAAATTTAAAGTGATGTGCCATAGCCTACGCGCTCAGTACCGTAGAAGAGCGGAGAGGCCATAGCCCTAGGCTAGGCCAAAAAGTAAAAGAAGAGGAAAGCGCAAAGTTTGTGATTCCCGATTCACTGAATTGCGATCATTTCATGCTCAGGCATATGCACGCATCCACTTCACCAGTTCTACTGTAGGCCTACCGAGGAAAGATAGCTTCCAACAAAGACGAAAGGAAATGATTCTCACTCGAATTAAAGGCCACGATAATCAACGAAGTTGACAAGAAAAGGAAGACTAATCTAAAGCGCAAATTTTATTGATATGGAAAGGATGTAATCATGTGAATTCTTTAAATTTTTCGGTTATTTCCCCTTTGCATTCCTAGCGGGAACTCGCCTACAGCGGGGGTTTTCTTCTGGAGCCAAAAGTCCTGCTATAGGCGTGTTCTACTGAGGGGAGATAGAGATGATAGATTTTTTATAGGAAAGAAAGAGCAAACACCACACCAGAGCATCCACCAACCACCCACATGGAGGGTGCGATGGAGTAACTTTAAGAAATTAAACAAATCCAAGGACACTTTGAAAACACATAAATTATAAAAATTCAGCTCCAGAAGCAATCCTGACCAAAGAAAAACACATTGAAAGACGGCGAATTGACACGACTCCCTACAACGCTACTCTAGTCTAGGCAGGTGCTAGCTTTTTAAAATACAGTAATTAGTAGGCTAATACCACAGATAGATATAGGTCGAATACAGAAGACTCGGAATCATGCATTCGTTGAACTGTGCCTGCGGACCCGTTTTTTTTTCATCATCTTTGAAAGATACCCCTCGAATTACAGATCCCTCGAACTACCTCAAGGCCGGTCCTGACGAATTCAAGCTATTCTCGTGTTATTTTAGGCCTAAACTGTTGGCCTAACTGTTGTTGACAAACGTCAAACAATGTTTGCAATTAAGTTTAAGGTTTGGGAGCATCTACGAACATGGTAACCGGATAAACCCCAAAGTCCCGATTTGGCTCAAAATAATGGAACTTGAGTTGTAGGCATTTTTAGCTTCATCAGCCTCTCCTACAACTATTTCATAGCATAAGAACCCCCAAAAAGCCATATTTTTACCTATACTGGGCATGTTTGTCGCCACCATTTCCTCATAAAATCAACATTTTATTTTTCTTTATCGACCGTTTTCTCAAATCGCGGTTTTTCTCTATACTTTTTTTTAGTAACTTCACCATTTTTCCTCCAATCTTCATGAAATTTTCACAGAATGAAGAGAAGATGTAATACTAAAAAATTGTATGTTGAATTTTTTTTTTTTTATAGGGAATAGATTTTTGGTGGTGGTGGTGGTTGGAGTGTGGATTTTTACAGATTTTATACAAACTTGACTACATGTACTACCTCAGGAAAAAGTATTAAAAAATTTTCAAATTCGTTTAGGAAAAAATCAAGAGATCTAGATCTAATGTTTGCTCACATGCATTCAAAAAATCAATCAATTTCCAAGAACGATCAGTGCGGTGTTCCTTACGTAAGACATGTCAACAAAATTCAATATGGCCGCCGTACCAATGGAAACGAAACGTTTTTCTCAAATTTGATAGCGAATTTTAAGACTCCTTATCATGTTTGTTATATGTGTGTGAAATATGGTAAAATTTGGTCCACTAATAAGTGAGATAGCCTTCAGGTGTAAATTTTTTTAAGTTTACAGCTCCGGCAATGTCGCTTTTAAAAGCAAGCCTGTCATTTTTTTTCTAATAGCATGCTTATTGAACGTATGTTTAGGGAACCTTTAGTGCAAAAAAAATGTGTACATTAAAAAAATATTTTTGTATGAAATTTTGCCTCTAAAAAGTGTCATTGCCAAGCTTTGACGAAAGCCATATATGCGTGTGCAAAATGTGTGCGAGAAGCGGATAGTGCTTTGAACAATAACGTTTTCCGTGTGCTGGAGATTTATATATTTTATATAAATTTAGGAAGAAAAAGTTTTTGATCAAGCCTCAACTGTTGTGGAAAAATATGATTTAGTTAAGAAAAATTGATACAAATTGCTGTGCTAATATGGGTGATATTGATTCTCCCGTAAAAGAGATATTTGAGGATAAGTTGCCCCACGAATTTTTGACCGCACTTGACTATAGTTACACGACACCTGCGTGCAAAAGTAGTCCAGTTATAGGCTACTAATGTTGTTTTATTGTTAATGCAGGGGCTCTCGTGGCCTAGAGGTTAAGGTGTTGGCCTCTCATTCAAAGGTCCCGGGTTCGAATCCGGGTAGTGACAAATATTTTCTTCTCTCAAATTGTCTCCTTTCACCTCCTTTCCTGCTCTCTAGCAATGTTCTGTTGTCTGTTTTCGTTTCCACTTTCTGCCCCCACCCCCTC